TGTGGTTTGGCACCAGTTTTCCTTGTAAATTTCACAAAATAAGATATTATTTTTAAATGTTGTTTATTTTTAAGTTGTTATTTATAAATTGTATATAATTATAATTTTATAATATTCCTTTATTTTAACATTTTTACTGTGAACACCAGGGAGGGCTTAGCCCTACTAGCCCACTTATACCAGCCGTCACTGATTACTTCTATCAACATGTTTTCTTTTTTTCTCTCTACCAGAAGAAAATACACCTGGACCAGTCCTTCTGTGTTTGTCTGTGTCTCTTTCCTGTCCCCACAAACCCAGCCCTTTGAAGCAGATRGCCGCCTGTCCAGAGCCTGGTTCTGCTGGAGGTTTCTTCCTGTTAAAARAGTTTTTTTCTCTCCGCTGCTGCCAACGTGCTGCTCAGGAGACTGATGAAGTWAAGATTCAACACAATCTGCTGRCTTCTTTAGATTGTGTTTTGTGTACAGTGCCTCGAGACAACAATTGTTGGGACTGAATTGAATTGAGTAAAATATCAGTCAAGTCTATAAAAGTGAAAGAACTGGTTATTTAGTGTGATAAACACTGTATGATAGGGATTATCATGTAGAGGACTTTACTAGTAATGGTTTATTCATGCATGTCTGTAATTGAAACAGGGTCYGTTGCGTGTCAGTACCAAGGGGCCCCTGAGGGTCTTAATCCTGATTAGCATGCTGTCCTCACACATTGTGTTTGATAYGAACCTAAATCCAGTTATAGCTCCATAAAATGCTGCTGAAAACACATCAAACTAGCTGACATGATAATTGCTTTTTGATGCTTTGAAAAGAACCAATTACAGACAATGTGGTTTATTTTTAACTCAGTCCCACACAGCAGTCTCAGCTGCCATGAATACCCCACACAAGAGTTAAAAAAAGTGCCTAAGAAACGCGCTGTCTTTTCTGACCCATAAATGACATCTAAATCAGAAAGCAGCCCACAGTTTTATTGTTTATTTTTCTCAAAAATAAAGCTGTTATTTAATTACTTACTGTTTTCAGCACAAAACCACACAGTTGAGATAGTTAAGAGTATTTAAAAAAAAACTGAAACACTAATTTTGCTCTATTTACTTAGTGCTATAATTTGTTGATAAAATTGATTGAGTTTATTATAAACACCTGTATGTGGTGGGAAATTACTCCACCTGAACCAATTATCTACAGCAGCTACTGAGACCAGAAATAGTTAGAAGAAGACAGTCAGGAAACACTGAACCTGGAGCTGAACTGTGTATCTTCATTTTTCACCTTGGTGTGTTTGTGTGTGTGTGTGTACCTCTGTCCAGGCTGATAGCTGGTATGATGGGTTCTGGGACCTCCCACTGCTCCTCATTATTGGGCAGCTCTCCGATGTCCTCTTTGGTCAAGAATCTCTTCAGAGATTTTGCATCCTGCAGTGGATCATCAGAGTTACTCATGAAGATGAAAACACACACAGAGTTCATATATTWCTTGTGATTTTGGTTGGAGTTAGGAAAAGGGCAGGGATTTTTCAAATAGTCAGAKTCTAGTTAAAATGGACAATTTTGAACAAAAAAATGAGGTCTGTGGCACAAAAACGACAAGGGGAGGATCTTCATTGTTCACAATTGTCTTTTTTTTTTTTACCCTGCACCTGTATGGAGCCTGTACAGTGACACTGGATAAAAAAATGTAATGCATGGCTACATATTAACTATCTCATGGCAACACATTAACTATCTTGTGGCTAAGAGATAATTAATTAATTAATTCAACTTTATTCTAGTGATAATTTTTTTCAATCTTGTGTGGCCCTAATACATSGTCGTCGGAACAGGATCAAACTGCTTATTGCTTAAAATATCAATTTTAAGTTTGAATAAATAGATGTTACACTTTACAAGCAAGTTACTGACTTAAATAATCCAGATATTCAACATTCAGTTGCAGTTTATCTAAATTTTTTTGATTTAAGAGCAGCAGCCTTTGTTCAATGGCTGGATCTACATCAGCCTGATGAGAGCTCTTCTGCTGCTGAACAGAGATGAGAGAAAGCTGTGACTCCCTTCAGGGAGAGAGCCCTTACTCGTAGCTACAGTCAGGTGTGAGCAAAAAGATCAAGAGTGACAGAATGTGAGAGTGCGAGTGAGCAAAAAACTCCTTTCAGAGGTATGGATTAGTGATCACTTACGCTGAGCGAGGCTATCAGGCCGCTCAGGAAATGCCTCAGCTCTTTTCTGTGCCTGCTGTCGGTGCAGAACAACTTCACCAGCTCACTGCAACACACAAACAAAAACAAGTTGAATCACTGTTGATCTGAGAGGAAACACTCTGCACCACAGTGCAGCTTCAGTTTTGTCTGGTGTCTGTTTGTTGTCTTATAATAAGGCTATCAAAAGGTGGATCTTAAAGGGATCCCTGATTAGTTGTAACATTAGACTTTATTTGATAAACATATATTTAACTGTAAAATAAAGACTGTAAAAATACTGTAGGATGTTTAGTTTTGTAA